TCCATTAAACACCACACACACACACACACACACACACACACACACACACACCCAATCCCAACAATCCTGAAATGGAAACCCTTAAAAGCTAGTATTAGTTGACTATCCTGCGGCTGGCCTGGAGGCTCCTGTGCAGTGGTTCCATTCTAGAAGTTGGTTTCTTGCATCGTTTTAATGAGGGTCACGTAAGGAAAGTTCAGGTTTGTGTTGGTTTGTGTTTGCTTTCTGTTATTGGTTTTTCCCCTCCATAAACAGGTGTCTGCAAATTTATTAATGTTAGGATGACCATTCTTTAAGTGGTACAGCAGCCATTTGTCTATTTGATGTACTGAGTAACTTTGAGTTGCTGTGATGCTGAACACTGTGCCATCGTTGTGTCAAATACCATAATGGTTTTCCATCAAGGACAGTGGTTGGAAGAGCTTCCAGATTAATTCAGGTTTGGAAGCAAGAGTATCATTTACTTCCTAAATAGACTAAATGCCTCTAGAAAGCCTATTAACATAAAGAAATTATGTTAAGTATAGATCACAATTCAGGTCCTTTGTTCATAGGGTCGCTATGAGTTGTATTCAACTTTGTAACACTTAACCACTGCAAAGTGAGATTAGTGTTGTTGTATTTTGGAGGAACATTCTTCTACTTTGTACATCACTCTTTGTCAGTTTGCTGTACTGAGTTAATTTGGGTTTGCTGTGATGCTGAACTTTGTGCCATTGGGGTGTTAAATGCCACAATGGTGTCCCAATGTGGACAGTGTTTGATGGAGCTCCCAGTTGTAAAAAAGGTTTGGAAGCAGGAATGGCATCCACTTCCTAAACCACATGCCTCTGGAAACACTATGAACACGGAGAAATGAAGATAGCTCTAGAAAGGCATTAGGTCTTTTGTTGATTCAACAGCAATCAACAACAATATCCAAGGGACTATCATAACAATCAAATGCAGGCAGTTTTGTTCATTATAGTACTTCACAGAACTTCCAAGTAAGTAAACCAAATTCACAGAAAAAAGTAAGTCTCCAGTAAAGAACCAGATCACTTCTGACTTACACAAAGAGAATAACTTCATTCCCTTCTAGCTTTGGCTGCCAGCAAATTCCAGGGTAAAATTTACACCCAACAAGAGGAACTTGGTAACCATTTTTTCCATTTTCATATTTTTCTTTTCCCTTATTATATTGTATTAACATCAACGTATGTATCTTTTTGTGGTATGATGTTTTGAATTCTCGTGTAGAAAAAAGGCCAACTAATAATACATTTCAAATATAGACCAACAGACAAACGGATAATTCCAATTCTTTTTGAGCTAGAAAAAGTATCTGCACTATCATAGCAGAGAATACCTTAATCAATTCAAGCAGTATTTCAGAGTTACTTAAATTAAGATAAAATATACCTATATTTGATAATAGCAGGCCCAGACTCATTTATTTCAGAAGCCTCCAATTTCTTCATTACTTTTTTAAAATGAACCAGAGACATGTATTTTGATAGAATCCAGGTCCCTGTCACTTCTTTCCATTGCGGCAGGAATGGCCCTGAACTAGGAGATAAATGTGTTTAGCTGTATCATCTTGGGAACTCATTAATATCTTTATATCATGCATTCCTGCCCCTTAAATGAGGGTAATTCTACCTTCCCTACACTACAAAACTCATTACAACCCTAAAACCCAAACCTATTGCTATCAAGTCCCTTCCACAGCATGACAATCTCTTTTGAGCTTCTGAGTCTGTAAATCTCAATAGAACAAGCTGTTTGATCTTTCTCCTGTGGAGCAGCTAGTGTATTTAAACAGACAACCTTTCAGTTAGTAGCCCAATATGTAATGTACTATGCTACCAGAGGTCACTGAGATGAGGCAAACACTTAGAAGTAAAAAATGGACCCCTCCCAAACCCAAAAACCACCCCCACCACAAAAAAAAAACACCCCAAATTTACTGTTGTCAAGTCAGAACTGACTCATAGAAGAATCTCCAGCAGGTTTTTCAGACGCTATGAACTGTAAAGGGAGAAGACTGTCCATCTTTTCCCCAGGAAATGCAAGTGGATCCAAATGCCTAGAGAGGTACCACCTTGGGGTTAACACCACAATTCCCTCCCTATTAAGTGGGCCACTGGAGCAATATAAATGCAAGATATTAGTATTAGACATATTAAAGTGCTAAGTAATTCTTTCTCAAGAGTCTAAGAAATTCTTTACACCTATGGCAAAAATGTCTCTTCCCAAATTCAGTTTCTTTGGCAACAAAATGATAAAGGTGAGAGGTTATATAAACAGAGGCACCAAATAATTAAAGAAAACATTTCTGTACATAAAACATGATTTATACCTGTTTTCATTTTTTACAGTAAGAAGTAAACATCCCTTTATCCAAAACAGCTGGTGAAAAAACAAGGCAGAGACAAAACCCAAATGAAGCATTTAAAAATGGCTGATAAGTAATTTTCAAGTTCTTGTTGAACAGATTCAAATACCAAGAATTATAACTCATCAATTCAGTTGCAAGAAGGTGGTTTCTGAACCAAACTGGCAAGAGTGTTTTAACACATTACACCGCAAATTCACAATTAGCCAGAACTTCCTGGTTAATTGACTATTTACAAGAAAACTAATTTTGTTGTAACCATTAATTTAGAAAAGCTTTCTGAACTGAACCACTTCACTCTCCTGGCTCTGAAAGTACAAAAATGCCTAGCATCACTTCATGTTGTTCCCAATGACTTAAACTCACGTGACACACTGGAGTGTCATCTCTCAGAACAGACAATTTCTGGGCAGTCTTGTTAAAGGCAGAAAATTAGAGCAAGTTGAAGTTTCTTATTTTAAATAAACCCCTGATACCATAAGCTTAGTCTTTTTCTTTTGTCTCATTCTTCTAAAAGGAGAATGCAGAAAAAAAGGTCCTAGGATCATGATTTTATAGTTCTAGATTTTCCCACAAACACTGGTTTAGGCAAATGAGGCAGTTCAGTGAAAGTTGGACCCCTCTGGATTATTTCTTCTCCTTAGTAAATATGCTCAGTAACATGGATTTCACTTAACGGATTCTTTGTTTTCCTAGATAGTATTACATTTTAGTACCTTATAAAAATTTCCTTACTTGGAAATTTTTCTTTAAAACAAACAAAACAACTCAGGCACGAAAATGACTCCCAAAGCCAACCTGTGGAGTTACAGATTTTGCTAAATGGAATCAAACTGTGCTTCCTATATTATTAATTTATAACTGCTTGAATAATCTTCCTATTATCATCAAAAAGCATGTGCATTCTCTCAGATACTACTAGTGTGTTCAATTCCTCAAAGCCATAAAATAATAAAGAGTTATTAGAAAAATCCTCCTCTGGTTTTTTTTTAGTACAGGGCAGAATTTCCAAACCACCTGTGGTACAAAAATGGTTTTAGATGGTCCACAAGGTGGAGTTAATAACAATCACATTCCCTTCACATTTTATTTCTATCCTTCTGCCTATCCCACAGAGAAAAACCCTTATTAGTGCTAGCTATCTGCTCTCTTCCACTGAAGTAAAGAGCTCGCTTCTCATTTCAGAGCTGGGGCAGGCATAAGAGAATTTAATAACTTTTTTTTTTTTGCTTTAATCTTCATCATTCTGTGGTTACCTTTTATTTCAGCAAATTGATACTGGCTTTCCATTTTGTAACAGATTTTTTTATAATACTTTATATTTTAGAAGATAAATAGTAAGTAGACATAGCTGGGCAATATCTAAATGATTAAAGTTTGGGAAACAATAGCTATAGTTTAAAAACCATGTTTCTAAAAAGTGACTTCAAAAGAAACTACAAAAGTCATCTAGAAAGGAAACATCCCACCACTTCGGATCTAATCAAGCTGAGGTCACTAGAAAACTTCTCCCACACTATTTCTGGAATTGATTCAAACAAAGATGCAAAATGAAAAAGAACCAATTCAACATCATCCTGGAGCTCCTAAATTCATGGAAACATAAACGTGTGAAATAAGCTGACATTTAACATTTCTTTTAAATATAAACTCTCCAATTTACTGCACCATCCTGTTATTTGGTCTCCAGTGACGCCTCACAAAGGCAAATTCATGTTGTACGGTTGCTAGCTGGTCTTCAGAGCAAAGACCACATATATCCTTCAGCAAGGATTCAGGACTGCTGGTCTGGTCTTGTGATGGGTTCTGACTGTGCCTCCATGTTGCAGTCCTGGAGAGAAGCCTCCACCCCCTCCGCCTCTGGATGACCATCTCACGGAGAGCATTGCGCTGAGAGGACTTTACCTGGCAGGCCTTGCCATGCTGAGTTAAAACAAAAAGGAAGGCAGGGGAGGAAGGAGGCAGAGCTTCTCGTTTGTGGTGAGCAGTCTCTTCATCACAGTGGCAGTTATGACACGCTTCCTCCTTTGTCCCTTGCAGCCAAGGCAATAGTCGGAAGGATGGTGTCAGACGTCATAATCAGGAGCCTTGCCCTGGGCCTGCCTGAGCCAGATCTGTAGCGTGATGAATGCTCCCACCGTCACGTGAAAGAAAAGCTGCCACAGGTTGCGCAGTTCATAAAGATACATATTGCACAGACAGATTAAGCCAAAAGTTAAAAAAGACTTGACATTCCGCCAGCCGGTGTAATACATGAGTAAATAACACTGTTCAAAAACATAAAAATGAAAGATGATTATGGTCACAGGGGGTAAAAAAAGATGTTCCTAGTATCAAATCATCACAGGCTAGAGTAAAATATGGGAGCAAAATAAGGGATTTTTCATCTAGGGATCAGATAATGCAACTTAGAAAAGACACTGAGCAATGAAAAGTGTCACAGCTTGAAAGGGAAATAGATTTTTCCTTTTATGTTTTCCATTTTTCAAAGGAAAAAGCATTCTGTATTATATTTAAGATGAAAGTGTAATTGGATTACTTTGTTACAAAAAGACTGGGCAAATTTTCCAACATGTCAGGCAACTAAGAGGCATTCCTAGTATCTGGTTCTAGCTCTCATTCCTATCTGAGAAAGTATAAGGAGCTCACACAAGCTAGTCAGCAAAACAGAAGCTTATATAACTTAAATCTGAATCTAAATAAAATAATGACAAATACTCATGGACTCTACTGGGAAAAAGAACTCTGTTGGGTACAAGATTTGAGTGAACATTTGAGTAAGAAGCCATGCAATGAGTATTTGTTGAGGGTGTGCTACAAGTCAAGCATTGTTCTTTAATTGTAAAACAGATAAAGCTCTTAAATGGGATTTACATTTTGTTTTGAGGGAGGTAACTAAAAACATAATTTAATATATAAGTGGTAAGAAGCTGTGCTGTAATCCCTAAGGCACAAAGTTTAGATCTATCAGCTGCTCCGCAGGAGAAGGATAGGCAATCTTTTCCAGTGTGATTTAATGCCTCTGAAAACCTGCTGGGGGGTTAGCTATGAGTCAGTGCTGACGAGACCGTGCATAACAACCACAATATGCCTTAAAAAGGAGAAAAGATAAAGCAGAAAGATAGAATGAAAAGTTTTCTAAGACTCCTTATAAAGACTTATAAGACTCCTTGTTTCCTGCTTTATGTTTGTCCATAACATACTATGTTGCTGTTAGGGCTTCTGAGTCAGCTGCTGCTCACAGTGACCCTGCAGCACAGATGGAAACATACTACTACACACATTCCAGTGGCTTATTGTGTCACCAGTATCCTCTGTTTGTTCAAAGAGAGATTGTTGTTTCTTTTTTTAATTCATTGTTGCACATTTTCTTCCCCCCAGCCCCGTTCTGGATTATTCTCATACATATAATGCATATTCATATATTCCTGTCATATAGTTCTTCCCCTCATCTGTTCGTTCTAATGCAGTGTTCATTATCTATCCACTCTTTACCCATTCCATTCCCTCTCCAACCCCCCCATGTCTGTCCTGTTTTATAACAGTGCTGTTAGGCAGATATGTCCTTTTGTGAGTGCTACTTAGCATAATGTCCTCAAGGCTCCCTAATGTTTTGTAATGTTTCACTATTTCATTATTTTTCAATGCTGCATAGTATTTCATTGCGTGGATGTTACATAGTTTTTCCATCCATTCGTTTGTTGATGGGTCCTTGGGTTGCTTCTACCTCTTTGCTATTGTGAATAACACAGCAGTAAACATGGGTATGCATACACATGTTTGAGCTGTGGCTCTGGTTTCTTTAGGGCATATTACTAGTAGTGGAATTGCTGGGTCAAATGGTATCTCTGGTTCCAACTTTTTTTTAAAAAGTGCCAGATTGCCTACCATAGTGGCTGTACCAATTTATATTCCCACCAGCAGTGAATAAAAGTTCCAATCTCTCCACCACCTTGTCAGCATTTGTTGTTTGCTGGCCTGTTGAACCCTGCTATTGTTGCTGGGGTGGGATGATATCTCATAGTTGCTTTGACCTGATTCTCTCTGATAGTTAGGAATTCAAAGAGAGACTTTGAACTCCCCCGTGTCGTGAGTGGTGCCTGGCTCACAATCATTGCCCAGAACTGACTCATGGGACTGTCTAGAGGGTTTCTGAGGGCAGAAATCGTGTGGGAGGAGATTTCCTATTTTACTCTGGTGGATTCTCTGGTCATGGTCTTTGGGTTAGCAGTGCAATCACCAGAGCTCTATTATAAATGCTCAGTAAAAAACCTGCTGGATGAACTGGAGAAGACTCCAATTCATAACATTGGATGTGATCAAGAAGCCCTAGTAAGGGCATGTCTCCATCTGGAATGGTATCCAGGTTTCAAAATAGGGCATTAGAAAGAACATGGCCAACATATTATGCTAAATTTGTCTAGTTCTTGTATAAATTCAAACTTGTCTTATTTTAAAAGAGGTTGGCTATTCAAGGTGAGCTCTAGTGGCCTAGTCGTAAGAAACTGCACTGCAATCCCAGAAGTGAGCGGTTCAAATCCACCAGATTGTCTGCTGAAGAAGGAGGAACAATCTCCTCCTTTATCAGTCAGATCTGCTTTGATGGTACACACACAGAAAATACTAAATAAAATAAAATTTTAAAAAATGTTTAAAAAAAGAGGTTGGCAATTCAAGAAAAAGGAATTAGATATATTTATTCATTTTCACTGTAGGACAGAAAAGTTGCAAATAATCTGAAATAAGGAAAAAAGAAACAATCCACACACCCAACTCCAACAATTCCACTTTCTTATGAAACAATCATGGAGAAAAGTTGATAATTAGTCCAGAGTGTTCACACAGCCTTCACTCCACTCCCCCAAAAGGTAAGCTCTTACATGGTCAGAATAAACTTACCAGAATCACAAAACTAGCATGGGTACAATATCATTAACCGTTCTACAGAATTTATTTGAATTTTTTTCAGTTGACTCACAAGAGTACTTTTAGGTCAGGATCCAATACAGGATTCCATACTGCATGTAGTTTTCATGAAGTCTCCAACCCACAACAGTTGTTTGTCTTTCTGGACTTAACAGTCTTCAAGACTACCGTTTGACTATTTTGCACAGTTCTTCAAGTTGGGTTTGCCTGGTATTTCTTTAAGTGGAGGATACACAGTTTTGGCCAGAAAAACCACAGAGCTGATTAGTATGTTGCTGTATCACTAGTGATGCTAACAAAGATCCCTTGGTCACTGTGCTTGCTAGGCTTCTCTATGACACAGTTATTGTATCTTTGAGTGGAGAAATATGGTAGACACCATCTTAGCCAAATACTCAAAATTTATTACAAGCTTCCTGACTAATATAATGAGCAATATAAAACATATTACTGTTGCCAAAATACCTAACCTGAATCTAGTAATGAAAACAAACTGAGATTGTAAACTCAAGAAGGGTAGGGGCCTACTTGCCTTAAAATATTTTTAAAATGTCAAAGTAATGAAAAACAGAAGAAATAAAATAAAA